TGCAAGCTGATTTTCACTGGAATGGATGACGACGTTCTTGGGATCGCTGGCGGGCTTTTTCTAAAATGAACTAAAAAAATACATTAGAAAGGGAGTTGAAATCGACACCGACGAACGGGTAAGGTCTCGACGTTTTGAAAAAAAGTCGTTGAAAGGTGAACACGAAGAAAAAATAATGAATAAGGCATTTGCTATATATAGGCAAATGCTTAGTACGAAGAAACGAGTTTAAATCTCGGCCGAAGTCCCCAATTTGTGGGACGGTGTCTAGGGGTAAATGATGAATTTTTTGGACGGAGGAAAGCATAAGCCGCGCGTTTAAAGAACAATTAATTTATTAAGATAAGGAACAAGCTATATTTACAGCTTTGAATTATGTACAAGAAAATAAATGAAAGATAGTTCGAAAAGAGGGGGGGGGGCGTCAAACATCGCTAGGCCCAAAGAAGCGTTGTTTACGAAGGCAAAGTTGCTCAGAGGGCGTCGACCGGTGCGCCAGTCCCAAAAAATGATCTCGCGCTCAGGGACTATATGCGTCTGACGTCATCGCTCCGAATTCTTTCATTGGTTACTGAAATGCCTCGATTCAATTTGGTTTGTTTGCGGCCGCCATCTCTTACATCTCTCTCCCTCGAAGTATATTGAAAATTTAAAACATTCTAATTATTCGAAATTAATTAATACTATTTCCTACATATATATATATATATATATATATATGTCATGATTTTGAAGACAGAATCAGATTAAAAGTTAAAAAAAGGGACGATCTTTATTCAACCAATTCTACATCTGTTCTGATCTAAGAGCAGGGAGTAAAAAGCACGCCATGGTGGGGTTTCAAGTGGATAACACTTGAAAAACATATGGTAAGTATCGCTGCTTTGAAGATGGTGCTTGCAAGTTAATACTGACATATGTTGGCTATTAAATCTAACGATCTGGAATTAGACATGTTTATTGGCTAGGCCATATGTTCGGAAGAAACAAATGGATGATTAGTTTGATACTTGAATATGGGGACTGAGATGAGTCAAGTGCTAGATAGGGAATTTAATTTTTAATCTAATTTAACTATCCTTACATATATATATATATATATATATATATATATATATATATATATATATATATATATATATATATATATATATATATATATATATATATATATATATATATATATATATATATATATATATATATAGGGAGAGTGTGAACTAATAGTAGGAACTGAAAAAAATGAGGGGTTATAGGGTTGAGGGTTAGGGTGAGGTTGATATATCTAAAATTGTGTCTTTTTCAAGCTATGTTTACCATTAATGCATGAACCATTCTTTTATCCATAAATTAAAAATATCTAAACCCCATTCCACCAAAATCTTTAATAGGAATATTGGGACTTACTTTCCTTGTTATAGGACAAAATACTCTAAAAATCTTTCTTCAATGTTCCCTTCATGGCTGCCTGGTACCATTAAAGACGTACAGTATAGGGGTGCGATGCACGTTAAATCTGTCGAAGCTCAAATGTTCTTTCGTTGGTGTGGTGTGGAAGTTTGACAGGAGAGGGCCAGCTCAGGTGTCATCCTCGTCACTTGACCGGAGTTCAAAATTATGAGATCCATCACCTAAAGCCATCGAGTAGCTGAATTGCGCGACGTTAATATTCACTCACTCAGTATTCTCTTCTGTATTTTCAGGTGGCCGTGGTAGCCGAGTGGTCATGGTTCCGAAGTCGAATCCGGCATGGTGAAGTCTCAGGTTTGAAACCTGATGCCTCTGAAAACCCGCCGTATAGAGAGACTAATAAGCGTCAAATCTTTCGAGGCCCAATTCCTCCTTTTGGGTTAGGGGAAGGTTTGGGTAATACAGTGCCGACTCCCCTGTCGTCCTCGTCTATAGATTGTGGTTCAAAAGTATGATCGATTGATTGATTGATTGAATATTAACGTCGCACTGTTCAGCTATACGAGGGCTTTTGGCGACGGACCACGTAATTTTGAACCATGGTCAAGTGACGTGGATGACACCTGAGCTGGCACCCCCTCTCCTAACTACTACACCACACCAACGGGAGGACGTTTCAGCTCTCGACAGATTTAACGTGCATTGCTGCCCTACACGGCGGGTCTTTAGTGGTATCAAAAGTACGAAGTCCATCATTGATAGTCTGGAGTAGTCACAAAGTGCGACGTAGATTAAAACCAATCTGTATTTTCTAAATTAAAATACCTCATACGAATTGATACCTGCTCTTGATGTCTAGCATCAGCGGCTAAACAATGTGCAATAGAAAAATGTTTTATATATACCCCTGTTTTTTTTGTTATTTAAAATATTAAGAACGAAATCGTTACACACACACAATTTATCTCCAATGTAATGATTTTTTTCTCTTTGAATCTTATTAGTAAGTACAAGACACACACAGGCACAATGATGAGGTCAAATCTTTCCATATATATTTTTTAAAAGAATCACCATTATTTATTTATTTATTGGAATAATTTGTTACTGAAACCACGAAAGGCTAAGTTACGTTCAGCCAAAGATTAAATGGCATGAATAATTCTTTCAATAGTAAAGCGCATCAATATTTAATTTCTCTTCTAATTAAGGGCTGCGGTAGCCCAGTGGTTAAGGCATCCAACCATGGCAGGCATGTCATGCGTTCGATCCCAGTACCACTAAAGACCCGCCGTGTAGGGCAGCGATGCACGTTAAATCTGTCGAGAGCTGAAACGTCCTCCCGTTGGTGTGGTGTGGTAGTTAGAGAGGGGGTGCCAGCTCAGGTGTCGTCCACGTCACTTGACCATGGTTCAAAATTACGTGGTCCGTCGCCAAAAGCCCTCGTGTAGCTGAACAGTGCGACGTTAATATTAACTCACTCACTCACTCACTCTTCTAATTAAATTTTGGAATTCTGAGTCAACAATTTTATTCTTTCGCAATCCTTCTAAAAAAATAAGACAATGGGTGAAGTTCCGGAAATATATATATTTTGCTCTTTGCAATCGCGCCGTCGGTTCCTTCGGGGAAAAGCATTGAATTGAGCTTTAAAATAAAGGTAGATTTTTTTTCTGGCTTCATTTTTAAGTTTTAATGCTTTCAAACTTCATATAAATAATAGACGATGTACTTTTTAATTAACAAAGAATTCCTTTAGTAATGAAATAATAGAAATAATCCTTTTAAAAGAAACATATATATATTTATTAAAATCACATTTCTATAAGTAATTAATAAAAGAAAAATTTACAGATAGCTATTGAAACTATTGCTTTTGTAATCAAAAGTATGAAACAAAAATAAAGAATGTAATTATAATTAATCAATTATTACTGACATTTTAGGCAATTTTTTTCGTTTAATTTTGCAGCCACCGGAAACCCAAAAGTACATTTTTTTAAAAAAAGAATAGTTTACGTATGGAGCAGAAATTTTCAAAATAACAAAATTATTAGATCGTGTTTTAAAAACCTCTGAAAAAAAAAGAAGTTCCAAAAATATTTTTAAAAAATTGTAAAATAATTAAATTGAAAGATAGATATTGTTTTTCTAACCGTAATTTTTAAGATATTTTATCAATCTTTGTGCAGATTATGTATAATATTGTTCAACACGCGGAAAAAAAAGAAAAGTATGAACTTTTTTTAGTGTAAAATATTTTTTCAAGCGGAACAACTTATAATTCGTATTCAAAAAAAGGAACCGATTTTGACTCATTTTTTATTTTAAAAAATTGTAAAATAATTAAATTGAAAGAAAGATATATATATATATATATATAATTTTATTATATTAATTTTTAAATAACTTTATAAGCGAAGTTTCGTAGTTTTGTAAAAACAGAATTTTTTCCGATATTCTCTGCAGATGGTATCACGTGCATAATAAATGCGTTTTAAGGTTTTTAATTAATATCTTTTCAACTAATTGAAATATCGGAATATAAATGGTCAAAACGGATTCCTCGGAACATTCCCGAAATTTTGATACCTGCAGCTAGCAGCTAGTTCCTGCGTCTTGTGGTTCAAAAGAAAATTGGGCTATATACCTACATAGATACGTTGTTTACCTACGAATTTTAATACAGTAGATTTATATAGTCTCTCTACAAATAAGAAATGAACGTCCATCAATCCAAATCGAAAAACACAGAGACAGCAAGAAAACCACACAATGAAGGACACATGAGCAATCGAAATTTAAAAAATAGATGCTGCACTATTATAAACATTGCTGACTTAGGACAACTTATATATAAAGTACTTTATATAAAAGTGGGGTTGAACATGTTTTGTGGCTAGCCAACCTTCCCCCCTTACGATAATAATACTGAGCAAAAACCTATTGAAAATAATGGATAGGGATATCTAAATCCATTACAACAGTGTTCCGCAACCCCCGGTCCGCACAAGAAACATTAAATTTCTCTTTCATTTACTGTGGCATATTTTTCTTAGGTTTGGGCTATTTTTTTATGAAAGTCACTTAATATTCCTTGTTAAATCACTTTATATTCATTTTTTGGTGTAGCTATATTTTATTTAGACGTCACGATTAAATACAATTAAATTAAAACAGTTTAAAATATAAACAATCAACATCCTCCCCCTCAGCGGGCCGTGGTAAAATTAACAAACGTTGACCGGTCCGCGGTGATAAAAAGGTTGCGGAGCACTGCATTACAAGACAGAGGTAACTTACCTAAAATTTGCACTTAAAAATGCAGAGCACGCGCTAAATCTGAGTGCAATAAATAAGTTATTGCCAGATTCTGGACCCAAATACATATTTTTAATGGTTAATAAAATATTTTTTATTCATCCACTCAAGTTCAAGTACATTTTTTTAAACTTGTACTGGATGACACTTGATGTTAATACAGTTATTTAAAATATTATCTAATTTATTAATTTAATTTAATTAATGAATAAAAAGAAAGAAAAGTAATAGTCCAACACCCTATATAAAAAGGTAAAAAAGCTCGTTTTGTCCCTGTAGCGCAATAGATAGCACCACACACTTTGGACTTCTTATCCAAAGGTCGTGGGTTCAAATCCTACCTGGGATAGCCTAATTTCTGAGAATGTGATTTCTTATTTACTATACTATTTTATTCGAATAATTAAATTTAATTAATAAATCAATAGTCACAAACAAATATAATAGTCCAATACCATATATAGAAAGCAAAATCGCTTTCTATTTTGCCACTTAATAGTGTGAGATTCTGTCATCTGTATATATATTTATATTTATTGTAACTAAAATAAAAAAAAATGTCTTTGTTGACCTAAGTATTATTAGTTTGCTTAAATTTTTTTTTAATATTCCTTGTTGTAATTTTCTCTTGTTTATTTCTTGTAAATAAATAAATGCACAACCCAAAAATACAGGTATTTTATTCTTTCTTTTTAATCACGAATCCACAAAAATCAAATAAATCGGAGTTTGTGAGTGATAGAGTTAATGAAAGAGAGGTATTTATTTATAGGTATATTCAAATATTTAAGAAATATTTTCAGAAATTGGAGAGCAAAATGTAATTTAAATAAAACCCTAATCTTTTTTGACGCTCTTTCGGAGGCACTTTACTGCATTTAAATCGATAAACTAGTATCAATTTTTACGTTGATCGGAAGCATTTTTACAAGATTAACAATACATTTCCGAATTCAAAATGGCTGTTAGAGCTGTAATGCATCTGTTTTTGTCGGTTGTTTTCACAGAACGGCTGATAATTACCGGATTAGGATATCAATATTCTGTCCGTATATATAAAAGCATAACCATTGATGAAGAGAAAACAAGTGTTTTGATTATAACACGGATTAGGCATTCAGTTTGAATGAGTGAATGAAAGATTTATTATTTCAGAGCACGTATATTTATTCATTTATATCCCTCTTTAAATTTAATATTTAGCAAATGTTAACATAAAGAAAACACTAAAGACGAAATATTGATTAACACGAAGCAGTAGCGCACACAGGAATTCTTCCAGGGTCGAAAGTCCACCATTCTTGTATCATACGCCTTTTGATTTTGTCGATTTTCGGGAACGAAATACAGTAAAAAACTAATTATTGAATAAATAATTAGCATTAATTAATAAAATTAATCATTAATAACAATACTTCATAAAATTTTACGTACTATATACTTAGAATTATAATCAATCGGGAAAAAAATCAAGGACTTTGGGGGGCTCTAGACCCCCTTTATGTGCGCCACTGAGACGAAGTAATACAATGCTCCCGACGAACTACAATGTATTTTTTTGCATTTTTCTCTTAACACGAAATAAAAATCGCTTAACACAAAAAGAACTCACTTCTTTCTGGGAATGAGTAAAATACGGAAAGCATCAGCCGGATTGGACTATCGAACTGTATCATCGGAAGAAATCGTTGTAATAGAAAATGATAATGTGTATACAGCCCCAATTATGGCAAAGACATTTTCGAGTTTATTCAAAGCTCAGAAGAATATCATTGTTGCAGATTCCGACGACGAAAATTAAATGGATTATGCAGCTCCTGTTTTTATGTCATCCGAAACGAAGAACATCATGAAAAGTATGTTCAGTTATTAAGACACACATTCCAATAATGAAATGAATTACAAAAGGGGTGATATTGAGTAATTTGTGTACAACTTGATGCTAAAAAAGACAATACAAAAAAATTTCAGATTTTTTTTTTTTTTTAAAAACTTAATAAACATTTTGTTTTTCTAAAAAATATGAAAATTTTGCATTAAAGTTCATCAAATTTTTAGGAATATTTAGTTTTATTGATTTTTAGAAAATTCGTGCATATATATATATATATATATATATATATATATATATATATATATATATATATATATATATATGTATATATCTGTGTAAAGAAAATGTACTCTAATAAACTTAATATTGTTGAAAGTAAGTTTTTTCTCTGCAATATCCTTTAACACGAAAAAATATTTCAGTCCCCCCTCAGTTTCGTGTTAAATAGTTTTCATTGTATATTAACTTTTTTAAAGTAATCTTTTGTTTTCATTAGCTGCTAAAATACATAATATTTGACTTACTCCTCTCATTTGTTTTTAATATAATCAAATTATTTTTTAATTAAAAGAAAAAGATTCTAATCGAATTGAATTCTTATTTAATTAAAAGACAGATTCTAATTCGATAAAATTCGTATTTAATCAAAAGAAAAAGAAAGATTCCAATCTAATAAAACTCTTACCGAAACAAATCTCAGAAGAATCATTCATCGAAAATTCTCCGTGCTTTTTTTTTTTTTTCATTTTTTACCCTTATATAGTATCGAGAAATAAAGATAAATTATAAAAATAAATATTTCGGGAAATATAAAGCCAAAAAAAATTAACTTTTTCCCCTTTTCATATAATTGTTTAAGTATCTGAAAAATAAATATTCGCTTAACATGAATGAGACAGAGGATCACTTCACGTAGTATTTTCCTCACCCCTATAATGTTAAAAAGGATTGAATTTAATAAAATAAATTTAAAAAATAACTGGTTATGCAATCATCACTTTTGTTATGTGCCTTTATTGCATAATTATTACTGTTTTAATGGGAGAATTTTTTTAAAATGTGAATAATAACGTGTGAAAAGCTTCTAAACACAATACAAATGCATAAACATTTTAAAATCATATTATTATTATTATTTATTTATTTTTTTAAAAAAATTTATTGGACAAAAATAATTTTTATTAAAATATTTATTTATATAGTATTAATATATGTTCAAAGTTATAAGGTGCATAGAATTTTTAAAAAGTCTCCTTTTTAGAGTTGTATTCTACACTTTTGAAAAATAACAATTTAAAGTAAACAGTTTAATCTTTAAATTAAAATATTAAATTTCGGATTCCTAAGATACTTCTCTAATTTAGTTAAGGCGGTTTTCGCCATATGCATGAAAGCGTGAACTTGATGCGGAGCACATTTTCAAATAGAAAAAATGCCTCAATTTTTATAAAAATTTGTGACATTGTAACTCATGCATTTGTTTAAAATATAGTGTTTTTAAAATTTCTAAATATTTCATAAATAACTAGTTTTTCTTTTAACATGAAAAGGGAGAGCTCATCTAGTAATACGGTAGGATAAAAAATGCGAAGCACATTTTATAAAGAAAAACTGCGTCAACTCGAATAAGAATGAGTAATATGATATAGTAACATATATTCTACAGCAGTGATCCGCAACCCCCGGTCCGCGGACGGTACCGGTCCATGGATCAAATGGTGTCGGGCCGCCTAAAGAACATTACACTATTGCATTTTATTTAAAGTGGTGTAATTCTCGCGGGAATTTGCGTAACTTTCCACGGAAATCACTATATAATCCACGTTAAGACTACACAATACCCTAAAAATTTCATTTTCACCGAAAAAAATTTTTTTGCATGTTTTGGTGGCCCATATCATTGTGATGCTTGCCACGAAATTTCAGATCTGTTAGCAAATTAGTTTTTAAGATATTTGAAGTTTTATGAGCTATGGTTTTGGTTTCGGTTTCCTTTTAAAGCATTTTTTCACACTTAAGTTGAATTAATTAAAAATATTTTTGAGCTTTTAGTTTGAAATAGCGAAGCCAGAATATAAAAATAATGTTTGAGTACTTTTATATCTGAAAAAACATTCCAAATTTTAGGTTCTATTCTTTAACATTAGCCGAGAACAGCCTTAAGAGAAAAAATTTAAACAGCATTAGAAGCAGAAGTCACATAATTTATTTTCCAATAAAAATTTAAAAAATCAATTTAGTCACTGATTTTTGTGAAGGGGCCCTCTTCTGAAGCATTCTTGGATAGGAAAACTTCAAAATGATATCTGTTAATACAGTGTAACTATATTGATAACTCTCTTTTAAAAGAAAAAAAACATGAAGAGTAGCAATTTAACAGACGATGCTTAAGAATTATATTTTACAGGCGGGAAAAAAATGGATTTATTGAAGTAAAAATTAATATTATAAGCAAATATTTTTCTCCCTGTAAAATAGTGAAATTAGAGTACATTAAGTTTAAGACGTTGTTCTGTGTGAAAAAGCTGAATTTGAGTGTATGCTTTAATACAGGTGTGGGCGGACTTTTCTAGGGTATGGAGTACTTCTGATGTTCTTAAGGTGTTGCGGCGTAGGTTTGGCCAATCTGTATTAAAATTGTATGTTTTCTTTTCTTAACACTTGTTTCTTCTCTTTTAAAGTATGACAGATTTCTATTTTTACTAAAAAAAAAACACAATACAAAATTGTCAAGTAGAATACTTGAACAACTATGAGCGATTGCTAGACCGTGGAGCGTAAACATATTCAATGCAGGAGCAACGAACATATTTCAAGTGATGAATGTGAAACTGACTTATATGCATCTGTTTTTGTTCGCTGCCGATTCACGCGACATTGCGGGACATCAAATTGATTAACTTAACCTAATAATCGACTCGAGAACCCAATTCCGTGGGAGCGCGGGGTATGGGATGTCTCCACAGCCAACCCCGTGCTCTCGCGAGAAGAGCTGATCATCAACATTTATTCTCCCCTTCAGTTGGCGTGTGGGAAAAAATTCATTTCTACTGCTGGCATCGCGGTGATCACTTTTTTCCGCTACAACAACAGTGAACGTGTTAAGCGTTATCATGCGCTTCCAATGAAGGTACATGTGTCGTCTACACATTTATCGAATCCTTTTGTTTAAGTAAACAAAATAAAGTAATTTTGTTAAGTAAATCGGGAAAAGCCAATTAATTCTTCAGTCTAGCTGGCATCAGTGGTTTCTTTTAGTATGAGTATCTTAGGTCTCTTCGTAAAGAAAGTTACCACAAAATGTCGTGGTAGTTCACTGGTCGATCGCGATTGACTTAATACACATCACTGTTTTAATACTACACGAACCTATAACCTTGAGGCATTCATTGACAACATTGATGCTTTTTTTTTCTTTTTTTTTTTTATATTTTCCGTGGTTTTTTTTTTACACGCGTAGGTATTCGAAACCGAACAGATATTTAAAAGGATTAATTTATAAACAAAGTGTTTCA